GGAGATTTCCATCATTTAAAGTTAGTGCCAACAAACAAGTTTTCATGTTCTCCTAATTTAAAGCTGCACCCCAGTATCTGAATGGCTGTTTGAATAGTGCATAACACGTGTGCGCGTTTGGAGAGCTCCAAGTGCACATTTACGCGGGAGCAACGACAGATTTTAGTGTCATAATTCAGAGCACAACAAGGGGAAAAAATAATCATTTGGGTTGCTTTCTTGATTTCTGGCGGCACAAGATCAGTGAATATATCAAGATCGTTTTGATTTAAAGGTTCAAACTGTAAACATCCCCAAAGTGCCAGACACATTTGCGCAAAGAGAGGATTTCGTCATTTTTATCTAATTTTTGAAGCATCAACTCGTTTATTTAACTAATTTCGTTTAAAAAAATGAGCCAAAAAAGAACGTAAAGCTCTTTGAAGTAATAAATAAACATGTTATTTGTCTTTTGATCCCGTTGGCAAGGAGATGTTGGCGTTCAAACCCGGTCGTCGAGTTTATATGCGGACCGTCTAGACCTAGATATTATTATGCTGTAAGAGGTGGTTAATATGTAATTTGCACCATATGGCATTTTAAAATCCAACCTTATTTTCACAATCTTCGATCTGTGTGGATTTACCTAATGATGCCCAATTAGTCATTGAGCAGGACCAAAGATGAGGCTTGTGTGGATACTCTCTCGCTAATATTTGCTCTCCAAATATTTCCTTTGAAACGTTTACAACACATTTTATCTGCTGGCCAGACGAGGGACATCTGGGAGGGTTTTCAACTCACTATTTTTATAAATAAATCCACAATTGGTTCACATTTGCCCCTCTGACTCTATTTGTTCATGCTTGAAAGAAAATGTAATAAAAGGGGTTCCATGATGGATTTATGATTTATCAAAAGCACTTTACCATATGGCAGTCGTCTTTGGAGCAGGATTTCAAATGTTTGCTTTAAAAGAACTAAATCTGATTAACAGGTAGCCTACGCTTGTCGCGTGGAAGGATGAAAGATGCGCCTGTCACGTGACCGCCGGAGAGCCTCAATCTCCAGTCGTTTGAGAATCACAGAAGTAAAATCGAGCTTGTATGCTCATAAATGAGTTTAACATTTCAGAAATATCATTTGGAAGCTGACTGCTTTCATATGTGGGCGAGCACTCCTTTCACTCGCTCATTCAGAACATCATGGGACCTGTTCAGTGAGTGGTGCTGAAATTAAACACTCCACACTTGCTGCTCTCTGTTCGCTCAGCAAAGGCGATGATTCAAACCCATCGACCATTTAAGATGCAAGTGTAGTTTAGCTGACTGAACATAAGTTGAAAAAAAGTCTTATACCTACTTTGTACCAACACTAAATGTTTGTGCCTCTCATGCGCATGCCTGGAACCTGTAAATCCTGTAAGAAACCACTGCATCCTTCCCGTTGGTGCACACAGTGTGCGAATTACACAGTGACATTTTAGAGGGCGACTGTTTTTAAAGGAACTTTTGAGATTTTTTAACGTGTGCTGAATTAAATGTAAAGGTATTTTGGGGTGCGTAATCTGTCGAGTTTCGTCTTGTGCACCAGCGTCACTACCACAGTAAGATACACTTCAATGACCTAAAACACTGTTCAAACTAATAACTACATTCAATATGGAATGGAGAGCGCACGAGCATCGCGTAATTATGGTTACCTCTTCCCCAGAACTTGAATTCGGTGCGAAATCCAATTCCAATTGAAATGACTGGATGGATTTCACCCGTGAAAATTCGATCACAGTGTGACAAATGAAAACGCGTTATGATGACTAACTTGCAGTCTAACTCTAAACATTACAAAAAGGTGTACCAACCCTTGCGATCACTGGTGAGCAGCAGTCCCCATCGAGAGTCTGTATTTACTTTCTTCCTATGTGGACAGTACGTCATCTTGATAAGGGCACTGTGTTATATATAAGAAGTCACGCGCGGGGGCATTGAGTGGGGGCCACACGCAGGGACGCATCTCCTTCAAGAAGAATAAGACCATCTCCGCTGCAAGAAGAGGGTCACCCGGCTTT